CGAAGCACCGCACTGTTAACCTCAACTGCGTGTGGCGCATACAAGAGACTACTGCGCACGCAAGCATTGTAGACACGAGCCCTCTACTTCGGCTTAAAACTCCGGCTGTGAAGTACCTTGGCCAGGCGATGGCGATTGGCTGTGGCAGCCTTATAGTACGGTGCATACAGCTTTGCTGTTCCAATGACCCATAGGACGCAATCACCCCCAGGTACACCATTTGCCGAACCCTCATTATGCGCAATGGTTCAACGGGTGTGCCAAGCTCCCATCCTTTGGCTGTGCGACGCAGGTGCTGCTTCAACCAGCGCTTAGCCGCAGCTCCCCGGACTTGCACAATGAACTGAGATTTTTCCGCGTTGCCTTTCATGCCATAGCATCTAAGGACCCTGAAAGTGTCGAACGCAATGCATGACAAAGTGGAAGTCCTTTTTTTGTGGCTACTTCCCACACCAAGTGGGTATCATCGGCGAAAAGCGTTGCTGCTCTGGCAGCCCATTCACGGCTAGTACTATCAGCTATCTCATCATATAGCAAACAAGTAAAGAAGGCGTAGAGGTAAGGGCTCAACGAACAACCCTGGCGAAACGCCCGTTCCATAGGGAATTTACGGGAATTGCCTTTATGGCTGACTTGATACTTACAGGTGGCGTGCAGCTGCAGGACTTCCGGCGCACCAGACCGTTGCAATTCCAGCAATAATCCCCGCCTGGGAACCTCATCGAAAGCCCGACGAAAGGTCTATCCGCAACATAACAGCACCGACACACGCAACGCAGAGTGCTTGGCGCGACGATCATGCACGCTGCGAGTGGTACACTGCAGTCTCTCTCGCACTCCCCTGCAGTGCGCCATTACTACTTTAGCAACAGCCTCGTCTATGGCCTTATCAGGGGTGTACGCATATTGTGGGGTCTAGTGACTAGTGACTAGTGCTCAGATACTGCAGTGTGTGCATCTGCAGTTGGTGAGGCAACTAGTTCAGAGCTTGGATCTTGAAGGCAAAGTGGCCTGAGGTCAGCAGGACGCTTGCCAGGCTTGTGAGGCTTAAGTAAGAGGGAAAGTGTACAGTCGGTGACCTTTTTGTGGAAGGGTTGCTCAGGCCTGGTGCGACTATTGAGAATTCGGGACAGCAACGCTGGAAATTCTGGCGCTCAGAGACGCCAGACCTCAGCCGGTAGTCGGCACTGCTTGTCCTGGGCTGCTGAAGGCTTGACTGAAGCACCCGAGAATCTCCTCGAACTGAGCGTGTGGCGAAAGCACTTCCCGTTGCGGTCCTCGTATCCTGACCCTCTCTCGTCTTGATGACCTGGTAAACACGACCCAACTGATGCCTTCGTGCCGCTTCCTCAGCCTGCTGTACATGCTCTTCAAACCATGCTTGGTGCGCTTCACGACACGTACGTTTGAGGTCTCTACTATAGCACGCTTGGAAGCAGCCACGCGCCGCAGGCATCGATTAAGCCGCGCAGGTTGTGAGGCCCTGCCGCAGGAGACGGTGCGTTCTCCACATTTCCTCAACCTTTTTGTAAGACTTCGAACCGCGTCCGAGTTAGCCACTGATGCAGGACGGCATACACATCTGAAGTGACCCCCCCGTACGTTGCAACGCCGAACACTCAGACGGGTCTGCGCAGTCCACCCCCGTCGAGCAACAGTTGCACGTGTCTCCCTGGGTCGGGCAGCTGCTACTGCACCGGTCGACGCCCGTTCGGGCCCGTTCCAAGTTCTCTGGCCGTGCGCCAGCGTCCACGGTAGATGTTTCACCCTTCTGCTCCGCGCATCTGCGCGCTCTCCGAAAAGCTCTCTTTCTCGCATTTAAATACAATGGTCGATCGCCCATATACTCTCCATGAATTTTCGCCGCATCTCTGTGAGAGGCGACTTTTGGGCCGTTGGCGGATAGCGACCCAACCCTCGGATTAACCAGCGCAATTTGCTCGTCTCCGGCATATGCTGGTCGGGAGAATTGGGACTCCTGCGGCTGGACCATACATCCATTCCAGCAGTTCATAGCACGTAACATGAAGATGCAGCTGAGGGGATGTGTTGCCATTACCCCCGCACTCGCGTCAGCCCTACCTTTCCGCTCAACTCCAGCCCCCTTGGCAGTAGTAGTAGTAGTAGTAGTAGTAGTAGTAGTAGTAGTAGTAGTAGTAGTAGTAGTAGTACCAGTAGTAGTAGTAGTAGTAGTAGTAGTAGTAGTAGTAGTAGTAGTAGTAGTAGTAGTAGTGGCAGTAAGTCGGGAGTAGTAAGTAGCAAGTAGCAGTAGCAAGTGGTAAGTTGCGAGTAGTAACTAGGAAACAGTAAGGAGTACGTCGTAACTAGTCAGTCGTAAGGAGTACGCAGTAAGTAGTAGATAGTAAGTCGTAAATACTAAGTAGTGAGTAGTAGCAGTAGGAGTAGAAACCTGAGCAGCAGGAGGAGCAGGAGCAGGAGAAAGTAATCATGATGACCGTCTTTGTAGACTTCGTCGTTCTCGTCGCCGCAATACAAACGCATCTACATGTGACCACTTTGCACAGAACCACACAAAACCTGCTCTGAACACCGGACCTGCCCTAAGCCCTAAACTCCTTCATCTGCAAACCTCAGTCCCAGGTCGTAAGCCTGAGCAAGCAGAAACCGTACCCAATAGCCTTAAGCTGTAAGCCGTAACAGCAATCCAGCCGACATCCGAACCCATGAGCAAGAATCGTCTGCACGCAAACCCTAGCCTTTTACACTCAATGCAGCATACACCCGCAAAGACAAACCCCAAACCCTAAACTGAAACCTCTAAACGCCCTCCACCGCTAATCCCTGCACCGTGCGCAAAAAGAGAACTAAACCAGACCTTGGATCTGACCTTGAACCACACACAAGCACTCAAGACTAGCTGCAAGTATTGTGTCAAGCAGCCCAGAGCACCCAAACCACTGAACATCCCGAACAGCGGAATTGCTGTCGTTGAGCTCACACATTATATAGGGCACCAGAAGAGCTGACACAGCTGTAGAGGGTTGTCCATGCCGGGGCGGGACTTGAACACAAGATTTGCTGAAACCACGGCCGAATGCCTTTAACATCCTTTAACAGGCCTGCAAAAAGCATTTGGGTTTGCGCAAAGCTCCGAGAGCTCAATCCGAACAGCATATAGGTTGTTGTTGAATCAGGACAACTTGAAGCATGTTTGGGTGTGGGGGTGTGGGGACAGCATTGAACGGCAGTTTTGCCGAAACGAAGGCCGAATGCGTTTAGGATCCTTGAAAAATGCATTTGGGCTTGGTCGGAGCTCCGGGAAGATTCGAGCAGTTTCTGGGCGGCTGCGTTTTCGGGCGGAGGCTCGATTTGCGTTCGGGGACTGGGCAAGGAACAGCAGCGAGCCTTAAAAATGCATGTTGAGGCCCTGGAAACCAAACTACAGCAGTGTCAATACAATTTTCGGGTGTGGGGACGGCATTGAGCTCCAGATGTGTTGAAACCAGGGCCACATGCGTTCAGCACGCCTTGGAAAATGCATTTGGGCTTGGTCGGTGGCTTTGCGTGCTCAATGAAAGCCTCGAGAGTGTGGCCAGCTGAAACAAGAGAGGCAGCATTGAGCTCCAGAATGTGTTGAAACCAGCGCGAAATGCGTTTAGCAAGGGGGAAAGGCGTTTGTGCTTGATCGGAGGCTTCGTGAGCTCGACTTGGGTTAGGAGACTGGGGCCAGGGGCACCAGCAAAGCTCAAATTGCTCTAAATGCGCTTCCAAGCCTGGACCAGGTGCACTTGCAAAACTGAAACAGCTCCAAATGCGTTTTTCTTGCCTTGAACATGCATTTTGGAGCCCTGGAAACCAAACTGCAGCATTTTCGGTGCGAATTTCGTGTGCGATTTGCAAGGCTCACGAAAACATGTGGAGCTTGGACGCAATGAGAAGAACCCGAGAACCACTCACATGGAACTAACATGGAACCCGCTTCTAACCTTCCTCGACATTGGCACGAACCTGGAATATGCTTCGGAACATGACCCGCGAAACCAAACCTACACTCGGAACCCACCCCAAAACCCCGAAACCCGTCCCGGAACTCCGAAACCTGCGCCGGAACCTGCCCGAACCTGCCCCCCAAGCCCTTCCCCCAATGTGGACCAAACCACTTATAGTTCTATCCAACAGTAAGACTTGTCCAACACTAGCAACCTAATCCTGTTTAACCGCAAACCTTGCACACAACGGACAGCACTTGATCATCTTATATGAGATCGCATAACCGTATACATCTCGTCGGATCGTCTGGTCTTCCACCACCCACGGTGCGCCGGTAGCGGGATTCTGTCTTCTAGGATCCACTCGCAGATGGGCAGACTCGATACATATAGTGCATGTACAAACACATAGCCAGAATCACACACGCATGTGTAGGTAGCTACGTAGCTAAGTAGCTGGGTAGCTAGGTAGCATAGTAGCTTAGTGCGCTACACAAATTAATCCAGGTTTACACGTCATACACATACAAAAACTCATTGATCCATATGTAGAAAAATGTACAACTAGAGGGAACTAGTGTCATTTCTTGGCCCAGGTGCGTGCATGAAGACCTCAAAGTGCTTGTGTGTGTGTGTACAACTGTCCACATACATGCCTAGAACATATCAATCAACCATTGATGTACACATACAGTCATACCCAGCTCATATATGCATGCATCAAATAAGTAAGTGCACAGCAGCACATCCACAGCCTCCATGCATGCACACGCAAACCCATGCCGAAGCATCCGCATATAAAAATACCCGGGCCTACATACAAACACACATGAGCAGCGACACGGGCGCGCACACACAAACACACGCTTGCAAACTTGCACATGCAGGAGGGCCCAAGAACGCACCTGAACGTCAAGACGTGATGAGCTCGGACACTGAAACCGAAGCTGTGCTAACGCGTGGCGACATAATCCTGTGGCTTGGTTGAGCAACATGGCAGGGCCTGGGGCCTCCAAGCTGTTGCGACTCGGCCTTACAAGTCTCGAAGGCCTCATCCATCTCCGACAGATGAATCAGCCCGCGAGCCTCCTGCAGTGAATGGGAAGAGCACAAATGATCAAGCGCGAAGGTTCCCAAAACATCGCAGCCTGGCCAAAGGGACTGAAGACATCCACCCACACACCATACGAAGCCTGGCACGCAAAAATGACGACATGGATTTGACTGAATGTCCGTTCCAAAGTCACCTCCTGTCTAACGACTGCCCGGAGCTGTTGCAAACAGTTCGCGAAGACGGAGACGTCCTCCACCGAAACATGTGACTCTTTTCACTGGCTTCTTGCCTGCCACAGGCGGTCCTGCTTGCAATGGAACGCATCCCGTGAACTTTGCACCTGGGAACTTATCAGGTTATCCCAGAAAACGTCTGAAACGACTTGCAAACGTTTGCTGTCATGTACATGCAAAGGCAACTGCACATGCGCGAACACCCCGGCGTGGTGATCGACCGGCAGAGTCCCTGACCATTGACCAGCGAACACGGCAGTTTTAAAAGACTATCAGACACTTATCCCATGGCATGTACCTGATTGCATGCGCATGTAAGAACCTGCACACCAAACCCAAACATGTGTATATGCCCGTATATATCTTCACGTACAGGTGCAGATACATGTGCGTACATATATATATATATACACATATGTATATACATATATGTATATTTATATGTATATACATAAGTGCACAAGGAGCGTATCTACTTATAAGTGCACATAAATGGTGCACTGTTACAAACACAGAGCGGTATACGTACACAATACCAACATACCTATGAATACATCCATACATGCACTGAGAGTCCATTGAGACATGCGATCCCACAGACAAACATGCGCACACACATACATACGTGCATACAAACATACATACAGACACATAGACGGACGGGCACACAGACAGGCAGACGGGCAGAAAGGCAGACAGACCGACCAACAGACATACATGCAGACAATTGCAGACACTTAGAGATACACAAATACAAAAGAACAAGCAAGTGTACATATGAACACAACACAATCAGATACAAAATGCCTCAAAACGCAGGCACGCGTGCATATGTATATGTATGTGTATATATATATATATATACCTGTACGTACAGGTGTACGCATTCTATGTGGGTATGTACGGTGTATGTGTATGAACTTGTGCCTCATTGCACAAACTGCAAGAAGCAAAACAGATAGACTAAACAGTGCCGGTCTACAAACTCGTGTGTACATGTGTGCATCTGAGCACAAATTCAAACATTCACAGAAATATACGACATGTCCATATCGTACGAATACATGTATGAGAACATCTATGTAAAGTTGGACTTATATATACATATTTATATATATATGTCTATATGTGTGTGTATATTAATGTACACATACAGGCGCGGAATGTGTGCTATTTGCACACACATATATATGTCTACATATAACCATAAACAAAACGTTACCTACATATGTAAACGTACACACATCGACCACAACATGTGATGCATGCACAGAAACATCTACACGATGGCACTTATACAGATACGTTTATGCATTAGACGTACATAAATACACGTACATGCCCATATACGCCACATACACAGACATATGTGCACAACAAGATTGAACATACACCTCTATACATGCAAATGCAGACATACATACGCACACCTCTATAGCCACATCTACATATATAACATACGCATACATATGCAAGCATTTACACATGTATGAATGCAGCTCTGAAATATGGGCACACAAATAAAAAAGACAATACATACCTACATAAACACACATGAACATTCATACTTACATGTTTGTGCAGAGTATGTACAAATATGCATATGTGCATATGTATACATATAACCATGAAAGCATATATACCAAATACACATTAATACATGTATGCACACCTGCATTTCGACTGTTTCATTGTATACCCATACGGACATATAAACTCATATTCGGATGTGCATACGAAAACATATGTACATATGTGTACATACGTACACTTACACATACAGATGTTCGCGCAGGCTTACACATGTCTACATGTGTTTACAAGTGTACACATGCGTACACATACGTACACATATATATATATATATATATATATGCATATATCTGTCTAAAGATGCGCACAGCTACATATGTGCATATGTCTGTACACCATTCCAACATGAACATACACACAGGTGTATGCCTATGCACACGTTTCTATCTGCATCTGCCTTGAACTAAATATCTGCATCTGTGCTTTGCGTGTGTGCCTGTGCATAGAAACTGATATGTACATATATATATATATATATATATCACATACATGCATTCATACATACATATAGGCATATGTATATTTTTAGTAGTCCTGCATCTATGACACATCGGCTGTATAAACTTTCGCACGACCTCGCAATCGAAGCCAGTGGAACCAGACAAGAGCCTGACAGGACATTCCATATGCTGACCGTCGCACGGTGCATCACAACAATCGAAAACCTCCAGGTGAGCGGCTGACACAACCTGGAACGAGATTCGACGAAAAGACCTGAGCGCTCCCAAGCTTGACCTGTTCGAAGCTTTGCAAGTTTGCCCCTCCGGTCAGGTCCGCACATTCCGTGCTTGGAAACCGACGAAACCAGTGAGAATACTCAAACTGGTGAGCTTAGATGCCTGCAAGAAGGGGAAGCAGGGGTGCTTCCAGGCTTGTATGCTGTCGACGGCCCAACGAAGTGAGCCTTCACATGCTTGATTTGAAGCATTGTGGTCTTCTACGATATCGATGACATGCAACAGTCGCTTGACTCTAACATTGCATCTGCCGGGCAACACTCACTACTTCTTTGTCAACCCAGCTCATGCCGACAAGAACGGATGCTTTGATTCTTTGATTTGGCCAAGGGGATGCAACACATGATCCAACAGCAAAAAGCCTGTTTTGTTGATTTCCCAGCAGCTTGACTTGCAGAGCTCGGAGATGTTTGTGTCGCTGAAGGAAATTTTTTCCAGCCAGCCAAATGCCGCGAAGAGAAACTGCTGACAAACACAAAACACATGGATCAGATGCATCGGCTGCATGCAGGAATGCCATACATGCTATGCGTCTCCGAGCTTGATGTGGCAATGGCGCAAACCAACTTCAGACATCCTGTCGGGATAAATGTTCTTTAAAGCACCATAATAAAAATTCTGTCAACAGCCCAAACACGATTGTCTGCGTAACTGTACAATCAACTGCGATGCATGTACGTAGGCATGGATGCAGGTATACACAGGTATGATGTAACGTATGTATTACAGACATGCGGACACCCGTCCGTGCATACCTAGCTAAGTATGTACCTGTATACATACGCGCGTACCTACCTGCCTACCTACCGACATACCTTCCCACCTACCTGCCCAGACAGCTACATGGCTACATAGCTATATACTTACGTACCGATACCTACTTACCTACCTCCCTACACACATACATACGTAAATACATACATACATACATACCTACCTACAGTAATACATACGTACATACGTTCATGCCTACATACCTACACACGCACGCATCCAAATACCCACATACCTACTTACTCACAGACCTTCGTTTCTGCATACCCACATATCTACATGCCCATTTGTCGCGCTGAAAACATGAGCGTCTTCAATCAACAATGCAAAACCGCTTATGCCTTTGCATACTTCAATGTAAATGGTTCAAGAGCAGATGCTGCCAGAGAGACGAAAGCAACTGCAAATGTTGGACTCTGCATTGCGAGGAGTGGTTAAACGCCGTGTTCAATGCACAAACATACTTTATTCTTGTCCAGTTCCATGTGGTAACGGCCTTCAACCTCCAGAACGTCTGGTCCAAGCTCGTTTGGAAGCGGGGCGAAAAACTGTTCTGCGATCCACTGCGCAAGGCACGGTCCGCTCTTACTCAAAACATAAGACCATTGTTTTTCTTAAATATTGTTTTGCTCAGATGACTGGCTAGTGAGGCTATTGTGTCGTTGGTATCCACATCGAAGAAGTAAGACCTCATAAAAACTAAGGAACCACGCGAACAAATCATGAAAAACATGGAGCATCATACAGAAACCAGCGACACGATCAAGACGAAAAACGAACGGCGATGCTCTGACGGACATTTTTTGTCTGCGATGTGTTGACATGTGAAACACACGAAGCTCGCTTGTCGTGTGTCGTAAAAAATGTATGTATGCACCACTGAACAAGCACTCTCAGTGCTCGGTGTTTCCGCATAGGTTGCGCGATTGCTCAAATGAGAGGCATGCAGGAAAATTTGCCAAAAGGTTTTGGTGAGAGAATAAGGACCCATTAATCACGATTGAAAGCGGTCTCATTCTTCATCCCAAAACCTTGCATTCACAACAGGATATATTTCCATCCAACCTGCATCATGACAAATATGTACAACTTGATTGAAGATTCCGAGATATCCGGGAGTACAATCAAATATCTTTCGTATTGAATAGTCCCGTGATTCACGCTCGGGCTCGGGCCACTGCTTTTACAGAAGCGAAACGAAGTCAAGGGATGATGAATTTACTAAGCTGGCATGTCGCGATTGCAGATATGCTCCACTCAGCCCAACAAGTGGGTCATCAGACGTTCGTTGCACTCCCGAGCTTCGATTCACCCCCTCCTCTGCCTTCTCCCGGAAACAGCAAGCTTGGTCTATCTTGCTTTCGACCTGGCATCTTTTCTTCGACCCCAGCTTTTTTTCCACCCACGACGAGGCCACTCAAGAGTTCAACACACTCAATTAGTCCAGCGTAACAGACCAACGGCAGCACGGACCAACACCAGCAGGCCAAACAAGACGTGCCTTTTTTCTGGATCCAACTTGTGGCCGGAAATGGCCGGAAAAGAAATCAATGCTTTTTTTCTGGACCGCGGCTGCAAACAATAAGTCTGCAAAAAGACTAGCCGGATGTCTGGAAAAAGACTGGCCGCAGGCCATTCCAGCTTTAATATCTTGAGCATAAACGGCTGCCGGCTTAGAGATCACGCTTAAGGGCTTGGGAGCTTGGCTTGCGGTGCTTCACACTCAAGAGCAAACAAGCAACGCACTCGACGCTCCAAAAGGCTTCTGCTGTTTTTCACCAGCGGTGACAAGGGGTACCTTGTGCACTGAGGCATTTAGCCTCGAACCTGCAGCTACGGATGGCGGAACAGTCATCGCCTGGCGGAACAATCATCGCCTGCAAAAGAATGTGTGAACCGATATCAAGAATTCTCCCCGAGAACGCATTATGAGCGAGAGCACACGCGGTCGCGCTGACCGGATTGGCAGGGGTTTGCAAAGGGATTAGATTCACGCATGCGGCACTCGGCTGCAGGCGGCGTCACTCGCAGCAAGGTCTGAGATGCAATTGGTGTGGGTGGGCGGGAGAGAAAAATTTTCTGCAACCTTACATGTGCAATATGATATCCGTAGTTCGTCCAGTGAAGCTCAGAGTGCACATGTCAATGTCATCTGAAGCTTATGCACAGTTGACTTCAGGATGCCTTGAGATGGCGAACGCGGGTGACAAGAAGATGCAATATAGCACCACTTGGCGCTCACATTGACAGAAAATTTCGGCAGCCATTTTCTTTAAAAATCCAAGCCCGGTTTTTAAAAAAAATAAAAGCTCAAGATATTAAGGGACTATCAGTGCACGCACTGACGGCCTCCTTAATATCTTGAGCATAAACGGCTGCCGGCTTAGGGATCACGCTTAAGGGCTTGGGAGCTTGGCTTGCGGTGCTTCACACTCAAGAGCAAACAAGCAATGCACTCGACGCTCCAAAAGTGAAAATCTTTTGTGACTCTGAAGAACGCCTGCGGGTAATCAACATGTCTTTCGCATGCTCAAGTGAAAATGAGTGCAACAACGATAAAACAAATACACCACAATACGGTATGCAACATGGAGAAATCATAAACACCCCGCCTACAGACTCTCATGGCCTTGGCATGGGTTTCTGTACCATGATTCTCCGTTGCTCAAACAAATACACTAGTTCACGACTGCGCTCATGAGAAAGTTTGCGCGTTCTCGAGCTCTGCCTCTAAGGGTCGTTGGCTCAACTGCTACTACTACGTAGGACTGTACAACTACGACTAGTTACACCACTTCAGAAGGCTAGGAGCAGCCGACGAAGTGATAAGGCTTGACTCACCCAAGCGAAGGCGCTTCCAAGGTTCAAGTTTTGCGCTCGGCATACAAGTAACTCAAGGATCATTCAAGTGGGTTTCGTGCAGCTCGCAGCTGCCCCATCAAGACGTTGGTATTCCTATGGAATCCGCACACAAGGATTGGGATGCCTATATGCATCAGGTGGCACGATGCCTACCTATGAAGACTCCCAGCTGCTCCACAGCTGGCTCAGCGGTTGGTAAGTCAATGCGGTATTGCCACCAAAATGGTGGAGACAAGTTCTGCTCAACAAGTCTATGTACAGTTTCGCGGCCTTTGTACAAGATCCAACCGATCGGCTCAATGCCAAAGCAATGAACCCATGGATTGGCGCATCATGAGCATTACTTCAAGTACTGCCGTAACAACATTTACACTTCTTGAAATCTCGGTTGATGGCTTCTTGCCTGCTGATCCTTTCAAGTGCCTTTGCGTTCCCAAGCGTTCCACATGTCCGCCTGTGATGATATGACTTGCCTCCGGATTTGGTAACCCATACAAGTTGGTCAGCCCTCCACTCATCTATAAGGTGCCTCGGAGGCGGGAAAGACATTGCTTTCGGCATCGCACCGGCACTCGAAGAGCTTGCACTGGGGTCTGGAGCATCATGATCATCGGCACGCGCTGCTGCGCTGCTGGACGCACTGGTGGCACTTTCTGCAGTGGGCTTGCTAAGCTTAGGGTTTTCGGCAGGTTCGGGACTAGCTAGCGAAACCGTAGAACCCTCAACCTTCACATGCACGGCAACACTCGGCGTGGGTGTGCTGCTGCTTGCCGCACTGCTTTCCTCACTGTCAGCTTGCTGCCTCAACACTGCAACGCGATTGCGACTCAACAGTGTACAGCACAACATGATCAAGATCAGCAGTTGTATGATCAGCATAATCCCAGTTGGATACTCAAGTGCAAAATCCCGCACAAGGTAACATGTACACAAACCATTCAAGAATCTGTGCAAACACTCCAAGATTGTCGTCGTCCTGGCTCAAGGCGTCCTCGGCATTCTGTGTATCGGGCTCATCGTTTGCACTTGCGACGCGATCAACTTGGAGAAGCATGGCTAGAACTTGGATGATTTGCTGGGTGCTAAGCGCTCCTTGTTTAACAACTCTGGAGACATGCAGTTTGTCCCTCGCTGAGAGGAGATAGGACTCCCCGATAACACCATAGTTGCTGTCTGCACATCTGATTCCAATCATGCCTAGCAGCTTTTCAATCCGCTCTGCCTTCAGTGGCTTTGTGCCGAGGTCCGACACGTTTTCAGCTGTAGGGATCAGCCCTACGGACAGTACATTGTCCTTAGTCATTTGCTGAAGCCAAAGAAGTTTGCCACTGATGTGGCGCATTTTCCCAACTCCCTGTCGGCACACCAGGGCTCGGCATGCCGAGTTGTCTACGAGGCAAATCTGTTCAAGCGTGTAATCAGGCAGGAGGAATCGGATGCATGCTAACAAGAAAATACCTTCTGCCGCAGCGGACACAAGGGAATTGTATTCCGATTCTGCACTGCTCAAGCTGATGGTCTTCTGGGTTTTGCTATGTGCATATAGCAGCATGTTGTCCCAGAGAATCGCACAAGAGCCCACGGACTTCCTTGTTCTTTTGCAACCGCTCCAGTCGGAGTCTGAACAAACTTCAAGCGCGGTCGTATTCTCCTCGCGGGACCTGTCGCAGACGAGGCCCTTGCCGGACACAGGCTTCGAGAGCCCGATCACATGGTTGCGATGGCAATTGATGTACGATGCAACATGCCGCAACAACTTCCATGATCCTTCGGTGGGTGAGTGAGAATAGGTAGTCAGGTATCGAATCGCGAATTGACACGCCACAAGGTCTGAAGACATATAAGCGAGGATACCGACACCTGAGCGATACGGGCTGGCAGTGGCTGCATCTAACTCACGATCAGATGCGAGCTCAGTGGGCAGACCTCCGGTCGGAAACGGAGCTGCTTTGTACCTTTCCTTTGCATTTGCTAACCCGGTGACTTGCATGAGCAAAGTGGGGCTTACAAGGATGTGGCGCCTTTTCAAGAAAGATACTTGATCTCCTATGTGCTCAATCCACTCGCTAGACACCTTAAACTTTGACTTCAAGTGACTTTCAAGAACCTGCAACCTTTCAGTCTGGCCGGCAGCCAGCATGTCGTCCACATGCACATAGCCTCCGCCTGCTCCACTGGGCCACTGGGCAGCCTGAACAATGCGGGGCTTTCGGGAAGCAATTCAACTCCGACAGCGACTTTCATTTCATTCGTGAAATCATTGTACCATGTCACACTTCCGTCCCGTTGTCCAGGGAGCATCCGCCACAACTTGAACCACTTATCACCTATGCGGGTGACCGTCGGGTGCTGCTGGCTGCACTGGAGAAAAGCATCGCTCACATCGAGCGCTAGCATCGACCAGCCTTCCTCACGCACACGCAGCATAATCTGGTTCGTTGTTGGGCAAAACAACCCAGGCCTATCGGGATCTAAGTGTGCATACTCCCGCGCCACGAGGCGCGAACGCCTCAACCAAACTTTCGATCCTTTGTAGAGCTTTGGCCTCCATGTCCGCACGCTTTTTGTCGTAAGCGTCCTGTGGCCTTCAAGTCGATCAGGCACTTCACTTAAGACCCCAATTCCAGACAGCCGCTGAAACTCAAATGCATCTGCTACAGCATCTATTTCATCAAGTTCTGCAGGGCTGCAAATTGGTTCACTTTCAGAAAAAGACCTAATCAAACAAGATGGTACTTCAAGCTCGGCTTCACTTTCATACTCAACCCAGTCAGCTGCATCAGCACATTCAAGATATTCTTCGGCTACCTCACCTTCAAGGACAACCTCTTCATCTTGATGAAACAACTGATTTCCGCTTGTGTCTGTCTGAACAGCATCTAGCCTCAGTCGCTTTCGGGCCGGTGGCTCGGCCTGCACAGGTGCCGGGCGAACTGTTCCGCCAGTGCTGGCAGATCCATCGCTGCTGCTTGCGGCAGCAGGTGGTATTGGCGCATCCCCGCCAGCGCCTGCACTCTCTTCAACCAGCATCGGTGCTGGAGACTCCGGAACAGGTGACAATGCAGGAAGCATATCGGCCGGTGTGGCAGGCTCAGTAGCTCGGCCAAGCGAAGGGTTCACTCGCAAAGGGGTCGGAGGCTCTGGCGAAATCAGCAATGGAGGTGGCGGAAGAAATGCACACTGCTTACGCAGCATGGGCCTCGGCCGATCATTGGCAACGACTTCTGGCAACTTGGCTTGGTCGCTGGCCTCCTCACTCTTGCCTGCAATCGACTTCTGGAGCCTAGACTGCCCTGACTGCCCCGCCAGGAACGAGGCTTGTGTCCAAGGCATGTCGTGAACATACTCAAGAAAACTCGCGTCAAATTGCTTAGGCAACCGCCGCACACTCCGGCTGGAAATCAGAAAACCTCCTTGCGTGGCCCCAAAATGCAAATCTGAAATTCCAAGCTTTCCAAGCGAAATCATCTTGACCCAACGGGCTTTCCCTTTGATTGAAGACTTCACTCTGGCATACACAACTTCGCAGAAATTCACTAGCTTGCCAAGATATGGTCTGCCGGTGATGATCTCGAAGGGGCTGTGCGCTTCAGTACGCGCATACCTGGTGTGCAACCATGCTGCATGCTTCCAAGCCCACGCGTGGATCGGGGACATCGTTGGAATTTTCTGGCCCATTTCATGCTCGACCTGAGAGAAAAGTGTCCCGGTCAACTGTCTGAGCTGCTCGACTGCCTGCTCTGCTGGATTGCCTTCATGGCTGTCCTTCTCGACTTGCTCAAGGTGCGTAACAAGCTTAAGCTTATCCCTAAAATCCTTTACACCCTGTTGCAGCGCTCGGCAAGTGGGCTCGCCGTCAGATCGCAGGGTGACTTCGGAATGACCGCAAAAGCTGATGAACTTGCAAAGCTCGGCAACTAGAAACTGTTAAAGAACGGGCTTCACTAAGGGTTCCTACCCACAAAGACTGTCGGACACTTTTGTTCCTGGGCACGGTGTGTCCTGGGGTCTCGAGCCTGCACGTCGCGTGTGCGTGACGGCTGTTCCTGTACATTAACTGTACTGCACTAGCTGTGTTACTGTTCCTGGCAGAATGTTTAACACCCCGCCTTCGGAGTTAGCGAAAGTTCCTCGACTGAGGTGACTCCGACTTTTCCTTGACAAACAGTAAACACGCTGCAGTTCCTTTTTCACTTGCAAAACAAACACTGTTCCTCATCGCAAACGTATGCGCACGTTCACTCGCAATCCTCTCCAAGGTTGCTCGACTGTACAAAAGACGTTCCTGCACTTTACCTAGATCACCACAGAAACAAAAAGGGCTGTGCCACGGTTCCTGTGTCCTGCTGCTTCTTTCCTCGGCTCTCTGGCCTCAGTACTGCTCGCGGTTCCTTTGCTTCACTGGAAGGTTACTTTGCCTTCCTCTTCGCTGTCTTTAGCTTCTTCTTGGTCTTGAAGCTGTTCCTTTAGCCACTCTTCTTTCATCTTTGCTTGCGCTTTGCACTTTTCCTTTCCTTGCTTGTCCTTTGACGCTGCTTTCCAACCTGTTTCCTTTGATCCTGAATACCAGTACCACTGTGTCTTGGCTTCGTTCCACTTCCACTGGTATTTCCTGTTCTGGAAACTGTAGACTGCAAACCAGTTTCCTTCAAACTCTCCTTTTCCTTTTCCTTTCATGAACGATGCTTCGTTCACTGGTCCTTTGGCGGACAGTTCTGGGTCGTCCTTGTCTTCTTCCTTCTGCTTGTGCTGTGTGACGTTCGGTGGCTCCTTTCCTGTTGCTTTTCCTGTTCCTTTTGCTTCTGGCTTCTCCTCTTCCTTTGCTGGTGCTGTGTCTGGTTCTGTGGGTGCCTCCGACCCGGCTGCTGATCCTCTGCTCTCAAGCTCCTGTGTAAGGCTTGCAATCCTTTCTTTATCCTCTTTGCGTTCCTTCATCATCTCCTTCATCATTTCTTCAAGCTTCTGGATCCTGTCTGCTTCACCTGATCCTGTTGCTGTTGTTGCTGCTGCCTTCTTTTCTGCTTCCTTCTTGGCAATGTACGCTGACGCTGCCTTTTGATCTTCCTCTCTCTTCTTCCTGGCTTCCTTCTCCTTTCTTTTCTTCTCCTGCTCCTTTCTTTCCTTCTCCTCTTTGGCTGCTGCGGTTGCTGCTTTCTCCTCTGCCTCCTTTGCTGCTGCTGCTTCGGTCTCCTCCTTTTCCTTTGCTTCTCTCTCTGCCTTGGCTTTGGCTGCTGCTTCTACCTCTCGCCTTCTCTCGGCGGCTGCGGCTGCTTCCTGCCTTGCTGCTTCCTTGTCTCTCTTCTCCTGCTCTTCTGCTGCCGCTTCCAGAATCAACCTTGCTTTGGCAATCTGCTCCTCTTTTGCCTTCTTCTCCTCTTCTGCTTTTGCTTTTGCTTCTCTCTGTTCCTTTGAGATCCTGTCCTGTTCTTCCCAGTATTTGCGATCATCTTCATCTCGAGGTCGAAATCCTGTGCTTTCTGCTCTTGCCTTTGGCTTTCCTTTTCCTTTTCCTTCCTTCTTTCCTTTTGTTCCTTTCTCGTGCTTGTACGTGTAGTCCTTGTCGACCCACTGCTTTTCTCCTGTAACTCTGTGTTGCCTGTAGATCTCGCCGTTCTCGGAGTATTCCTTCCATTCGCTGGCGTAGTCGTAGGGGTACGGAAAAAGCTTCTTCTCCTCTTCCTTTTCCTTGAGCCTTTGCTTGCTTTTGGCGTTGATCTCCGCGATCTTCTTCTTTCTTCTCTCTTCCTTTGCTTCCTCACTTTCTTCTTCCTCTGCTGCTGCTGTTCCTTCATCGGGGTACTCCCCGGGATCTTCTCCTCCAACGTAGCTGTTGACGTAGGCCTCGTTCTCGTTGCCGGCTTCCTGCTCTCGTTCCTGGATGCCCTCGAAGTAGCCTCGGTCCGAATATTCTTTCCTTTCCTGGGACGTAGGTGACGTAGCTCTCGACGGTGCTGTTCCTTGTCCGTGTCCTTCACGACGTAGTTCACCTTCTAGTTCTCGGTCCTTGGCTTCTCTTTTCCTTTGTTCTTCTTCGTCTTCTTCCTCTTCTTCTTGTTCCTCTTGCTGCTGCTCGTAGAAGTCCTGCATCATCTGGTTCAGCTGTTCCTTTACGGCGTCACATGTACCTAGGACGAAGGCCATGTGTTCCTTGACTTGTTGCCGGTCTCTGTCGTTCTGTTCGGCCATTTCCTGAACCTGGTGCTTGACGTCGTAGATTTGTCCTGTCAAGGACTCCACACAACCAGCCACGTGTTCCTGGCTTTTGCGCAAACGCGCAGCTTCCTCTGTGTTCTTCCTGATCGACTCCGCGATCAAGTTCCTTTCATCAGAAGCGTTCCTTAAGGCTGTCGCCGCTTCCTTCAAAATTTCCAGTTCCTTGAAAACTTCCGCTGTGTTCTTGCTCGAACTCGCGCTTGCTTCCATGGCTGCTAAGGTTCCTTGACTCTGTCGTTCTAAGGTTCCTTGACCTTCTGCTACCGGGCGAACTAGTTCCTGGATACCTGAGCGTTCCGCGAGTGTTCCGCAGAGTTCCTTGAGCTGCGAAAGCATCTCACAACATGCTGTTCCATGCGCTGTTCCTGCAGACGTTCCTAGCTCACATGCACTCGTGTCACTGCACATGCCGTCCTGCTCACATGCACTTGCACAACAGAAAACATGTTCCTGAAAGTCTGGCTGAAACTCTTCTTCCTGAACACAACTCTCAAAACACTGTTCCTTGAAACTCTGAATCTGAAGACTGTCTGAAATACCTGAAATTCCCGCAAACAACAAAGCTGCAAAAGACAAAGTTCCTGGGCTCTTGATCATTCTTACAACTGCTTTAGCTTGTGTTTGGGCCTTGTGTTCCTTGAGCTCTTCTCTGCCTACTGGTTCGTTCTCGCTGGTTTGAAAACCTAGCCAGTGTAACAACAGTCTGATACGCTTCGCTGAAAGGGGCTTGGTACCTATGTCGGCTGTGTTCTCCTTGGTTCCTACTGGGTGAACACTAATTGTTCCTTCTTTGTGGAGGTCTTGAAGAAAAAGGGTCCTGATCTGCAAATGCTTGACTCTTCCTACACCTTGCCTTGTAATAATTCCTCTAGCTGCAGAAGAATCCATGTACAAGTGTACCTTGCATTGTTTCCTGGTCAAGAATTCTACTGCTTCCTTCAACAATATAGAATCTGACGCTGCTGACGCTCCTGCGTAGTACTCTGCTTCACCACTGCTCAAGCTAACCGACTTCTGGTTCCTAGAAAAGGAGTAAATGCACTGACCGTCTAGGCAAACAATTCCTGAAGATGTTGAGCGCCTTGTGTCCTTCTTTCCTGCCCAATCTGAATCGCTGAAAACTTCCAAAAGGTGGTGTTCCTTGGGCCTTATTCCTGTAAAGTCGTAGTTACCATTCCTGATGGATTCATGGAGATTACTGAGTCCTCTAGGCGTTTTCCTGTACACTAAATGGTATCCTTCAGTTCTCGACATGTACTGCACTAGGTGGACTAAGTGTTTCCAAGAACCATGTGTTGGTTCCGACATCTTGGAGGCCAAACCTCTCACGGCAAACTGCACGTCAGGGCGGTCCTGACTGACATACAAGAGTATGCCAACGCTTTTCCTGAACGATGCTGCTTGTTCCTGGTTCAAGGTCTGAGTGTTGTCCTGTTCCTGCGACTCTTGGGTGCACGGAGTTGGCTTCGAGGCTTTGCTGGTAAGCTTCAGTTCTTCCTTAAGCTTCACAAGATACTTCGGGTCACTCGTGATGTGGAGCTCGTGATTGTGGTAGCTGAATTTCCTTTTAAGGAATCGGATTGTCTGGTGTGACTCTCCTACCTCAAGTTCCTGCTCTGTCAAGAAGGGGCCTTCAACCTTTAGCTCGTAGGTTTCTCCTAGCTTTCCTAGCTTGGGCTCTAGGTGCCTTGTTTTCCCTGCTGCCTGAATGTCATCTACATGCACAACAAGTATGCTGTTCCTGTCGTCACGAAACAAAGTAGGGCAAGCTTTGCTCCTATCAAAGTTCTGCTCTTTGAGGGTTCCTGCAAAATGATCACTCCATAGTAGTGCTGCATCTCGCTGTCCTGGAAGTACTCTCAGCAGTAACAAACCTTCGTTCCTACAACTGGGGTCCTGGTCGCCAAACAGATCCACATATTCCTTCGGGAATTGACATGCACATCGAGTCCTTTGTGGGACCTGCAAGAATGCGTCCTTGACATCAATGGAGTACAGGGAATGTTCCTGTTGTAATCCCAAGATAGGGATAAGTCTCACCAACGATGCGCTCGTAGCTGGGCTAAACGTGTCGTTCCTTACTTCTGCTCCTTTGAACTCTCTTGCTACTAACCTAGCTCTCCGCATCCATCGGCCGTTCCTGAATCGCCAATCGAAGACGAATTTCGTCGTCAACCACTTTGTTCCTTGGTTGCTCTCTTCTTCTTCTGTCTCTCTCTCCTCTTCTCTCTCGAGTTCTTGCAAGGGTTTCCTTGCCAGTGCCTTCATCTCGGTGAGTCTGTTGATCTCTGTGAGCATTGCCTCACGATCCAGTTCCTGCAACTGGGCTTCTGCAACTTCTGGAGGTCCAGAATCTTCGCTCTTGAAGATGTCTTGTTCCTCATCGGAATCGCCAATGTCCGAATATGAATCTTCCCAGAAAATGTCCTCTGTACCTGGTTCTGCTTCAGGTAGTTCTTCATCAT